TGCACTGTGAAATACCTCCTACATTCTCTCTCTCTTAAGAGGCCCGTGGCGAGGTGAGAGGCAAATAAGGGCAGAATTTAAAAAAGCACAGCATTACTCAAGGTGAAGAGAGCAGAACAGAGGAAAGGAGGGTTGATGATAAGAAGAGATAGGAGAGGACAATACTCACACACTAGTGACTGAGGAGTATCGTGAGAGGGACATGGGGGAGTTAAATGGAATCTGTAAGACTGAACAAACAATAAACAGTAACATATAAACATCTACTGTATGCTATTGTTGATGAGAAGACATTTGTAGATGTACAAATGTTCAAAGGTGAAACACTGCCTTGGGCATGTTGGATGGTTGTTCAGTGGCATAATTGGATGTAAGAGTTTCTGGTCTTGTTACATAAGCCTGCTAGCTTTCCCATTTTGTACAACCAGCCCTGTTTGGAGAGTTTTGTGGAACAGATGTTATGCAACTGACTGGCCGGCCTTAAAAATAGAGCAATTCTGAATGGTATAAAATTTACAGCATGTAAAATTAATACATGTATGAAATTGCGATGTATACAATTTTGAGAATGTGGTATATTTCTATTACTTAAAGTGATCTTTTACAATTTAAATCAGGGCTGTAGCTCTTGAGTCTGGACACAGTTGGAAGTCTGGTCTCAACATACTATCATCTTAGACTTTTTCTGTCTTGGTCACCAGTCCCACCTATTCCTTCAGAGGTCAGAGTTATCACAATTGAAAGTAATGTAATGTTTAAAAAAAATTATACTATTTACTCTTACAATCACATTTGAACCTTTTTTAAACCCAAAAGACTCACACTGACTCACTATAAACAACAGTAACACAACAGTATGAGGAACATTTTACATTTAACATTTGCTCTCGGCCATGACTCAGTTAATCTGGTCAGACTTGGACTTGTCTCTGACTTGGTTAAGTGCTCTTGATTAAAGCTCTGTATAAGCAGTGTAAAACATATATATAATGTCTAAACCAAAAAAATGAATGTTAGGTATTCTTACCATCATTGGCCACAACAGTGATGACAACAATGATGGTACAGTGAAGAGAATATTAGCAACATACAATAAATCGGTATCTGTGAGAAAATACATTAACATATACAGTATAATGTATAATAGTAGCAGTTTGTGTATCATATTTGTGTGTTTCAGATTAATTAGATGCTATACCAGTTTGGTCTGTCTGCCATACAGACCATTACAAGCACCAATGCAAGAGTGTCATTGAATTATGAGATTATTTACCTGATTTATGTCCATGTGGAGTATGGGAACTGTGACTCATCTGAGACACTGATGAAGCTTTGACACTGAGTGAGAACAGCAACATACAAAGTTAATCAGTTGCAACAAAACAGACAGTGATCATAGCTGCTTCAGACACAGTTTGATTCCTAAAATGAGAGAATAGGTGAGGACCCATCTCCCTTCAACATGCCCTAAAGCAAGGCAAATAAGGTCTTCGCATATTTGGATTAGGGTTTTCTTTGGTGTATGTTTACCTTTGGTTTTATTCTACACAATATTATAAAAGGACCTCACTGCACTGTAGGCTGTAACATTTGTTGAAATTAATCTTTCAACACCTATTGATGAGGGCCCCTTTTCTTAATCCACAACTTGCACTTGGATACTAAAAAAAATATATAGTTCATGATAAGTTAAAATCCACTGCCCCTTTAAACCCATTCAGTTCTGAGTGTGACAGGCCAGGAGCAGATGTGCCAGGAGTGACACCTAGTGAGTGGTGAGGAATAACAGCCAGCTCGTTGTAAATAACTTTATATGGTAAGGTGCAGCCAAATCCAACAGGTCACACGCCAGCATTTATTTCAAATTCATTACTGGTTTTACTGCCTCCACAGATCCTCATTTAGTCTTTTTCTTTACTCTTTTATTTCACAAGTGTTTCAATCCTGACCATGCAGTGCGGCACCTGATATTTTATGCATAAATTGAGTGTGAATGAAGGAAGATAAAAAATAATCTAGAGAATGGGAAATGAAAATGAAACATCAGCCAAATGCTTGTTAGCAAACACTTTGGAAAACTAAATATGCTTCAGGATGGCCAGCTATGAGGAACAATCAAAGACTAGTTGATTAACTTGCATAGTAAAAGTAGGAACTCATGTTTTTTAATATCCCATTATTACAACATCAAGATGTATGTGTATGTCTAATATGACTATCTTTATCTACTATACTATCTACTCTATGCTGTACCTCTGATGTTGAAGAGAGTTTTCTAGCTTTGAGATGTAGGCACTCTGTTCATTCAGCTTCCTTTAATGGGAAAACAATAATAATGAATAAGAAAAGTCACCCAACTTTTCATAAATTGTTGTTTAGAAATCTGTATGAAAATCTTCATGGTTTAACTTACTTTGTCATCCGATGCATTTCTTGCTTCATCTTGACTAATACCTCCTCTAGTTTCTCATTCTGTAATTGATAAAACGGTTAGTGATGTGCTAGAACAGCGCTAATGGCGCTGATAGCTCCTCAAAAAATAGTGCATTACCTGTAAGATGAAGAAAAGCAAACCCTCAAAGACACACCCATACACACCAACAAACATCCATTGTCTCTCACCTGTTGCTGGTAATGAGTCAACAGTCTCTTTTGATGTCTTGCTTGGAACATTACAACCTGAGAGGAGGTAGGAAACAATGTTATGTGAAGTCTGCACAAACAGATAATATAAAAATACATATACTGCATATATAACTCTACAAAACAGCTTTTTGAGCAAACTGTGTCAAACTGGCTGAGACAGACATTGCTGAACAACGCTGTAGTTTTGAGGTTGATGCAGATATAAGAACAGTTAATAGGACTATTTTATGATGTGAAGCAAGAAAATGACCAAACTTTGCTGACTTCCGTGAAGTGTTTGGTCGCCACAACATTGATGTCAGAAAACAAGGCCTTCACCTCTGAGCTGCTCTGAAACAAAGACATTTCACATGACTTTAATGACCGTAGGATTGTAAAATGATATCAGTCTGTCTATAAAGTTTTAATGTGTCATGTTATCCAACACAGACAGCCCCACAACCACAATGATGCCATTAAATGAGAAGAAAGATGCTTACTTTGTCAGAGAGAGGTGATACTTGGCATTTGGCTTGGCATATTAAACACTTGCCTTGTTTGCCTGAAAGAAAAGTTGCAATTTATATATATGTATACTGTATATACACATATGTACATTTGATCAGAATTACAAAGCAATGCAAAATCATTGCAGGGTCGCACTGAAAAGAAGACATGCAGAGCCTGAATCCAGTACATAAACTGAACAAAAGGAGTTTCCGCCTGAGTCACAAAATTGCATATTGCATATAACCGTTGATATAACCCTGGCAGCCAGAGTGGCTTGAAATGTAAGAGTCTGATTGAAATTAGACCCATCAGGAACAGACCTGTGGCTTATGAATATGATCAGTGGTTCCCAAAGTGGGATCAAGGGACCTCCATGAGTACTTCAAGAGGTCCCATATCCAATGTTGAATAGTATAATTTCTCTCTTATTTCATTTGAGGATATGACAAGAAGCACTCAGGGACAGAGCATGACAGGATCAGAGATTTCATTCTCACTTCTTTAATATAGGTGGCCCAGAACAATATCAAAACCGGTGTGACAACATGTACATGTCTCAAATATGGCTTCCTGTAAGAGGGTTTATTAAATAGGGGTCTTTAGAGAAGGCCTAGGCATACAAAGGTTTAGTTAAAAGCTTCACTCTGGAGTACACCTGGTGTCATCAACTCTGCAGTATCACTTGAAGTCCAACAGATGTCCTCGTCTAATCACGCTTTCACATCCCCTTAGCAGCAGGCCTGGTACAACTCTAGTGCGGAGTTGGTGCTTTCATGACTTACCTTTCTGATAACAGACACTGCAGATGATATGGCCACAGGTTGTCACAGCCAATTTTCGATCAGCACTGGGGGAAAGGAAGCAGGAGTTGCAGCAGATCCAGTTAGACATCTGAAGACCTGCAAAAGAAGAGCCCAACGTGAGATAGGTAAACTTATTTTTAAGTCCGGTTCACTCAAGTTGTTTCTGCTTGGGCGTGTTAATTCAGCTTTAACCAATTAAGCTATGGGTTATTTCAACTGTCACGACTAAGTGATTTAAAGTCGTTGCTGTGTTTCTTTTAAGTTTAAGGCAGCCGTATAGCCGGGCCCACCCGGCATACAGTCAGCTACATGTAGAATAGATTTAGCATGTTACCTGACTCCGGATGTCCCGCTGCAGGTGAAGCTAAATGCTAACTTAGCTGCCGTTAACGTCAATTAACGGATCTGTAGAAGCAAAGTTCTTAAGTCTGTACCAGTAACTGGTCACAAAACTAGTTTTTTTTATTTGACCTATGGCACCTAATTATAGGCTTACCCGTTCTCTGTTAATTAATGAACAAAAGTCGCGTCACAGCTCAACAATAATATTTTTTAAGTAACGACGTCCTAGCAAGTAACGACGTCAGTTCTTAGCTTAGGTTTTCAGTATGCTGTTAGCTAGTAGTTGACACTACATGGCTGTGACTTCAAGACTATTCAAGATGTTGAAGTATGAAGGTAAGTTATATATAAAGCTCATGTGCTGAAAAATAAGGAGTAATCACCAAATAATTCTTGTTCAAATTTTAAATTCATTTAGTATTCTTTTCTCTGTGGAACAGCTTATAACGGGGCCAAATAACCATGATTATAATGTTACTTTAACAAGTTAAAACATTATTTAACAAGTGTGGGTTGATATTAGCCCAACCTAAAATTACACTGAACTCAAATGAAATGGATTGCTGTGTGCTTACCATTTAAAAGGCAATAGAAATTAACATAGAATAAGAGGAACACAATTCAATTAGCTTTTGCCAATATTGTCAATTTGCCAGTGAATTGAATTGAATTGAATTTATTATCATGTTTATGATACAAAAACACACTATGACACAATCGTCCAACTCTTACATCCTTGCACTTTTATTTTTTACACACAGGGTCTTCACCCTTATATCCTGTATCTGTATAACCATCTTTTTGGCATTTGGACAGTTTTTAATCTTTGTAGTATTTCTGGGCATGTTGCAGGTTACAATATAATAGTGCTAAGCATTGGGAGAGGTGTGGGCAATGCAAAAAGGTGAACACTGTTGACGGGTCATAAGTCATCATCAGACCAGCTTCTTGGCAACGAAGAAGTCTTTGAGTCGTTTCATCTGCCAAAAACCAACTGATAACAGAATCGAGGTCTGCACCACTGCCCACCACAACACTTTGCTGTTGGTGTCTTCACTGATCTGACGAAACACCTCCTCTTTCTCCTGAATGAGAGTAGATAATAGAAAAGATGGGGGAAAGAGACATTAAATCTTCCTGTTGTTGAAAGGTCACTTCAGGGTGAATGATAACACTCAATGAAAATACTTCTCATTTACCCTCTGGTACTCCTGCTGGCTGGCGATGTACGTCATCTGATCTATTAGGTGGCTGAGGCTGTTCTCCAGTGTCTCCATGTTGTCTTTAGTCTTGTCAGTGTTGGGGTCTATTGTGTGCTCACCCATCTGAACATCCAAATGTAGCTTCTGTAAAACACAGTGGGGGGGGGGGGTTTGTCTAGGCTTGTAGATGTTTTTTTCGTTATGGATTAATCTGACCAGTTATTTCTTGATTTCAGTCTTAAAAAATGCCTGTGACAATGTCCTGTTAACCAGGATTTTGCCATCAAATTCAAGGCACTTCAGGATGTTAAGATTTTTAGTTTACTGTCACATAACACAATGTTTCCAAAGACTTTACATTTGTTACCTCTTAAGATAAAGCAGTGTCTGCCTGTGACCCCTCATCACAGGTGTCATAGGTCAATAAGTTAGATATTTGGCCTCTAAATTCGTCATTTTTTCAGATTTGAATACATTTTTCGGACCCAATGAGTTTAAATCTATCCATTATGCATCTCATGAACCCCTCAGATTTATTAACCCATAGGAGGGGCCCTTACCCTCAGGTTGGAAATTGCTGACATAAAACAAACAGCTCAATCTCATAACTCAAAAGCAGGAACTAGAGAATAATTGGCATTTTTGCTTGAAAAATTATACAGACAATCAATCAATTATCAAAATAGTTGCTGATTATTGACTAATCGGTTATCGACTAATTGTTTTAGCTCTAGATTTACAATGGGAGTAATTAACGTTATCAGTGTGTTTTAAACTATGGCTACAGTGAGGTGTAAAGGGACACCGTCATGCAATTCACAGAAATAACTTGTGATATAATGTTGTATTATTATTGCAGTATTGTATGTTTTGCTGCGTTTTTCTCTCTCTTTAAAATGATTTGTGTGTGTGTCCACATGTCTCACCAGCCTCTCCCCAGCAAAGACTGCAAACCTTGTGGAGTTGGTTTGGAAGCAAAGGTAGTGCTGACCAGAGGCGTGAGCTGTGAAGGTGAATTTAGCAAATTTACCATAGCGTTTGGACATCACAACCTAGGGAGAAGGAAAGACACTGTTAAGCCAATATTTCTACAGCTATGAGTCAACAAAATTGAGATGTGCAGTATTAGCATTCAGTAGCACTGTTCAGTGTTCATTTTGTCCTTGTTTAGGTTTGATTTCAACAGCCAGCACATGTTTGCTTGGTGATAAACCTCTCCTGTGAGTGCAGTACCTCATGGTTTGGATCTCTGACTGTCACAGTGACGCCAAAGTGAGGGGAGTGGGTGAACGCCTTCGAATCCCATGGCTCCAACAAGAAATAACCTGAGGGTAAGAGACACTCACACATGAGTGCATATATAGACATGTGCACAAACTCGCATAGTTGTAGTCAAGGGCAATACTAAAGATTATAACATTTGTGAGAGAAAAGAAATGATGAATTTCATTCATTAAAATTAATTTAATGTTTATACATAATATAGTATTTAATATACACTACTTGACATGTTACCCAAGTATACAAACACTCATTTCTCTCCGTCTCCCATTGTAGGACAAATTGCATTTCTTTACGTTTCCGTGACTATTTGTTGTTGTTGAAGCACAGAACAAATCAGCTTTCAAGAAGACACTACTTAATGTGCAGTGTGGAAATGTATAGTATAAATGTCAAGTCATAAATGGCTTTTGCACTGAAATAAGACATAATATAATGAAAGTGCATATAACATTACTGTGTGATTCAACAGTCACATGGCAATTCACAATACACTTTACAAAATCTAATTCCAGATTCATTCCTACTGTCGGGATTGTAAACAACACTCAGGAGGAATATTCCCTCTCCAGTACTCACCAGTCACCAGCATGTCCTCAGGAATCTCCTCAATGATGCATTTTTCCTCCTGCTCTCCGAGATCGAAATACATCGCCGCTGCCAACATCAGGTAACACTGGAGCAGAAAGCCAATGCCTCGAAAACCCATTTTCAGTTAACAATGAGCTTTTAGATTACAATACCCTTGCCAGTGACCAAATGTTTGGCCTGTAGTTCCGATAGCCTTTCTTTTTCTTTTTCTTTTCTTTTTCTTAAGATCTGCAAATTCTGTGTCAAGATTGAGGTATTTTTCATCGACTATAGCCACACAACCATGTCCTATAGCAGATCTTACAAGTGGAGGGCTGTAAGGGAGACAGTTTGAGTGTGAGAAATTCACAGGTGCTGCTTTGTGCGACGAGACATTCTGGTTGTGTTGTGACTGGTTAACCAATAGCCAATAGCAAGATATCTAAGGCTAGTGATTGACAGGGACTGACCACTAGCACCAGATACGGCAGTGACTCCTCCTCTTCTTAAACAAATTTCTGGGACATGCCATGCTTTTTATTGTCACTATACAGAAAATATCTACTTATTTTGTTTCCAACACTGGGCCAAGTGCTTGCTCTGCATATTACCACACCATATCAAAAGTGACAGATGCTGAACCATGCCCGAAGGGAGAGCCCACTAGCTATCAACAAAACGCAGGGAGAATAAGTTACAAATCCATAATTTGTCTGCTTTGATTGTCCGTTTAAGGTGTTGTAGAATGAGAATATAGATGAGCACTATGTAAAAAAGGTAATGATTGATGCTTAATCTTGACAAATAAGACAAATGCGCTTTTCATGTGCCCTATAGGTGTATTTCTTATTCCTTGTAGATTTTCTAGTCCTTTTTAAAATATGGTGTTCACCTTTTAACCTTTTTAAATAGTAAGGGTTAGCAGTGCCATTGCCTGGTACTACAGTACAAAAAAACAGTCCAGAGCCCTTCAGAAACCCAAACCATTACATACAATAGTTGCCATATGCTTACCTTAGATGAGATCACTTATGAAGTAAACCCCAACACACCCACACACTGAATAAACCCTTCTCATATTTAGTGTCTGCAAAAGTTGTCATCCTTAAAGTAAGCAACGAGTCAGATTTCCCTCTCCTCCCACGCTTCAGTGGTTTTACAGAAAGTGTGAATGCTAAATCAATATGTTTATTATACCTGCCATGAAGTAACAGATTCACTTTTAAAGTACCTTGGATTTATGTAGTGTCTGCAAACCTCAGTCTAATGCTCTAATTTATTCCAAACATATATTCTAATGAAAACTACCATTAATAATTTGTAATTCGCTGCCATTTGGCACTACCAATACCATATTCTACTGCTACTTATGATCAGTTAGTTCATGCGCTATTTTCTTTTGTGATATTTTGAAAACTTCTACAACATACACTCTCTCTTCATACATATACAATAAACTAATACTAGGTAGGGCCTTCCTTTGCCCTCAAAACATCCTCAGTTTTTCGTGGCATGGATTCCACAAGCTGAGACATAAATTCTGCAAATTTGTTAGCTGCAGATGCTGGAAGTAACCATTAGAAGATGGTGCATTGTGGCTATAAAGAGCTGCACATGGTCAGCAACAATACTCAGACTGGCTGTGGCATTCGAACCATGATTGATTGGTATTAAGGGGCTTAAAGTGTGCCAAGGAATTATTTCCCTCACCATTGCACCACCACCACCACCAGCCTTAACTGTTGCCACAAGGCAGGTTCGGTTCATGACTTCATGCTGAATTTTTTAATTCTGACCCTATTTCTGCATCAGCAGAAATCCAGATTTATCAGGATAGGATATGTTTTTCCAGTCTTCAGCTGTCCAGTTTTGGTGAGCCTATGCCCACTGCAGCCTCAAATTTCAGTTCTTGGCTGACAGTGGTTTTGTGCTTTTTGACCTCAAGGCTCGACATGTTGTGCATTCTGAGTTGCTTTTCTGCTTACCGTAGTTGCAAACAGTAGTTATCTGAGTTATCGTAGCCTTTTTGTCAGCATGAAACCATTCTGGCCATTCTTCTATGACCTCTCTCCTGAACAAGGCGTGTCTGTCTGCAGGACTGCTGCCCACTGGATGTTTTTTGTTTTTTTGCACCAATCTGAATAAAAACATTAGAGACTGTTGTGTGTGAAAAAACAGGAGGTCAGCTGTTTCAGAAATACCCAAACCAGCCTGTCTGGCACCAACAATCAAGCTGCGGTTGAAGTAACTGAGATCATATTTTTTCCCCATTCTGATGTTTGATGTGAACATTAACTGAAGCTCCTGAGCTGTATCTGCATGATGTTATACATTACACTGCTGCTACATGATTGGCTAATTGGGTAATTTCATGAAAAAACAGCTATACAGGTGTTCCTGATAAAGTTCTTGGTGAGTGTATTGATCTTAGAGTTCTATACTGTTCTATATTATCTTTGTCATATGTTAAGAACTTTATTTCCTTGGAGGACATTATATCAGTTTTTGTTAATCCTGAACATACCAAGACAAATTCTTAGCAACCTGGATTATATAACAGTAAACCTCTGTTTTGAATGTATACTCCCTGTGATATATTGTTCATAATATAATGTACTTACCTCTCATCACTCTCAGACTTAGCTGATGAAACTACTGTTAATGAAAGCCAGAACCTGGATCTGCTCAGTAATTTTCCCCTCCCTCGTCATTTCAAACGGAAGGAGCTTCTTCATGCACCAGATGTTTAGTTCTTATTGCTATTCAATCTGTCATCTACAGCGTGGTTTCTCTGTTGGTAGGTGGGAAAGGGGGCTGGGGGTCATAAGTGATTTTTATTTGTTTCACATTACATGTTACTGGTGTCTGTTCTGTCCATTAAATGGGACTCTAGCTTCATAGTGGGATGTGCAGCACTGGATGTTACAGAATGAAGTGAGATCTATAAGATATCAGGTCTCGTGATCTAAATCAACATTTGGTGAATTGTTTTAAATAGTTGGTGAGCACCTTTATCCATTTTATGACCAACACTTCATCAGGGTGAGTTTGAGCCTACACTGGGGCCTAAATCCAGGTCATCTAGTTAAAAGCATTTCTCTCTGTACTCAATTTGATCCTGCAGCCCCAGTGTTTGTAATATTACCTCGGGAACCCAAATGTAAGTAAGTCTAAATGTGTGGTTGAGATTTGAAGGTCATACGCTGCACTGAGCAGAGGCATCAGGAAAGAAGGATTTTAGTTCATATCATGGAAATTTCTTGTTTGAAAATCAATCATGATTATAGGAATCATGTAAAGTTCAACAATAAACATGCAAATATCCTCCCTTCTCAAAAGGACCATCTCTTTCTTGAAGACACAGTTCATCAAGGACATTTTCTTAAAAGATATTTACACTTTATTGACCATACAGAAAACATACATTTTTTTGTACATTTTTAGGATTTTTTTTTTTTTACCAAAACCTCTGTATTGAACTAATATCTCAGTAACATAAAGGAATACAAATCATTACTATCAGATTTGATATACTGTACACTACAGGTTAAAATCCTGTCAATAAATATATTCTTTGTCTTCAGGAAAATAACCACAATGTCTCTGTAAACATTATGTTTTGAATGCTGCAATAGAGTAGGACTGATTCAACTAATGGAACTGATAGTATTTGGATTTTCTGTTAAGTATTTCTTGGATATGAGGATTTTAGATCATAAGTGTCATTTATATAGATTTATTTCCAAATCCGTTAGATTAAAGCTGCTGGGAGTTATAATCCACCGTGGGCAAACAAATGTGAATGTGAATATGATCCTCAGAAATGTCAGACCAAACCCAATTATAATGTGAAAATGTGTTTTTAGTTGATGGCTGTGTCTAAAACAGCATTGTTCTATCCCCACACAATTTTGATAACCTGTCAAAACTGAATTGGTGTCTAATAGCTATTTCTGCCAAACTACACCTCTCTAGTACTGTCAGATCTGTCAGTGTGACTTGAGGATGAGACTTTTTTTTTTTTTAGTCCAACTCTCCCGTTTTCATAGTTAGACTATCAATCAGTACATAAGTCATTTCCACAGAAAGAGGCCATGGCCAGGGTGGAAAGAAGGGAGTCTGGTTAGTCATATTTATGCTTCATGGGAATACACCGCGGACCTTTTACTGTTGTTTCTCCGTCTTCGTCCCTTCCTCCCTTTCCTGGCTTTCCTCTCTTTCTTGTCTCTCCTCTCCTTCCTCTCTTTTTTCTCCCTCCTTTCCTGGCCTAGTCATAAGCAGTTGTCTGGGAAGCACTTCCTCTCTTCCTCCAGCAGGGGGCAGGGTGCTCCATTGTTTGCCGGATGCATGAGGACGTAGCGTGTGCGATGCTGCACACCTGAGTCTCCACACTTGCTTTTGCACAAGCCCCAGGGCGACCACACTGACACCTCGCAGTCCAGAGGGGTATCTGCACAGAGACGGGGGGGGGGGCATTATAGTTTCATTAACATTTAGGTTTGGTTTGTTATTTTCTAGTTACTGTTTTCTAACTCTTGTGCATGCACTCTTGTGTTTTACCTCCTTTTTGAAAATACTGTGTTCATTGTATTGACATTTGTAAGTTTCCTTTTATAGATTTGCATGGAAAGGAGTGGAATAAGTCATAACCAGGAAAATTCCTACTCTTCAACCATTATTTGGCTTTAAAAAGTAATAAAATAATGAAAGGGAATTCCAGTAAATGATGGCATGCTGTGTGTGCAGCTCTTTATGAACCCATAGTTTCTCGTTATAGATTCTTGGCAGTGGCTGTGCTGCTGGTGTTTGCAGGAGACTTAATTGCAGTTCTGTTTTTCTTTTTTTCTTTTTTTTTTTACGTTCCGTTATTGAGTCTTTGCTGACTGTGCATGCTCTTAGTCAGTATACCCCTTCCTTACAGTAAACATTGGTATCACTTAATAAATCCACCATAGCAGATAGAGATTTAGTGCCTTGCAAAAATGCACCTCAGCTGTAATTCAAGGAAAGGCAGCTGCCTTTTTCGTTCATTTTTCAGCTAACCTGTTATGCAATCATTGAAATCTTATGTTATATCATGTTTTTTTCTTTATTGCTTTCACTCTCCCTTTCCAACATCGTGAACTTGCCGGGCTACCTCAAACAACCTTGTTGTGACCTTGTGTACAGCTGATATGTATCACAGACTTCACTGTGGGTTAAAGAGTAGAAAAGCAGAAGGATGGGAGGCAATACGGAAGCTGCATGGATGGACGGATGGAGGGGTGGGACATGCACGTCAAGTAAAGGCTGATTTTGACATCTCTGTTCAGCTTGTGTGTCCATTAAGGACAGACAGAGGGATAACTTGATAAGATGCTGCATGTAATGCTAATTCATCTTATTTTATATCAGTGCTGTGTTTCACAGATAAAATCTAGAACAGGTGAATGCTAATCTGTAATGAAAATTTTTGTACAACCCCTGAGGAGAATGCATAAAAGAGATGAAGGTTTTAATGGAACGAGGGAAGGATAAACCGTTGGAGGGGTAGAATGGAGCACTGGGAGCAGGGCAGGAAACCCCAACAGATTCTTGGCCCCTCTCTGCTGTTTGTTGATGGGTAGTCAGGGGAACGGACTTGTAGTCTGTGATGCTGAGTCAAACCTTTACAGTCACTCTCAACACTGAATCTGATTACCGCACTGTCAGCTCTACTGCCAGGCTGACACGCTATCTGTTCCTTTTTTCCCCCCTAATGAAACTTTTTCCTGGTCGAGTCATCTATTTAGACTTTTTGTGGTGAATTGTGTTTTTATAAAAGGTTATTTTTCCCTTCCTGTCACATTTAAGAACATCAGTCACACAGGCAGGTTGTTTGACTACTGCATTGTTGGCCTTACTTGTAGTTTGACACACTCTTCATCTTTATTTTTCCAAGCTGTCTTCCTATTCGTCCTCGCACTTAGTCTGTTTTACTGTTACAACTAATCTGTACAACAGGGAGTCTTAAAATTTAACAGTCTGGGAACTAACATTAAGTAAATCCAGATTCAACTTATGGATCCAGGTCTTGTTAAAACATATGTGTCTGTATCCCATTTTGAATCACGACCTAAACGCTGCTGTACCTAATTTCGACGCAGTTTTCTTAAAATGCTCTTTCACTTTCTCCGTCTCTCATCTTTAGACTTTTCCACTGGATGCCAGATGTGCCCCTGGCATTTTTTGATGCCCTCCACTCGCTTGGCTTCTCTGGTTTCTGGTTGGAAGTAATTAAGTTTGTGTGTGGCCTATAATGGTTTGCAAATGCTTTCATCTGAGTCAGCAAAAGAAACAAGTTCCTAGTATTGTGCACAACATAAAACATATATCTTTTTTCCATTTAAATGTGTAAAGCAGAATGGAGAAAGGCACCTTAGGGTAGAAATGGTGGAATATTGCAAGTATATTGTTTAACTGTTGATCTCACTAATCTATATTTCAGCATATTTTGCTGGCTATGTATAAGAGCTTGTATTAATTTTTAGTTTTTTGTCTTATACCTGGAAAAACAGTATTTTAGTTTTGCAATTGAACATTTTGGTCTTTTCCTTCAAGGTGTCCTATATAGTATTAGCGGACAGTTATAGCTTGCTGTCTTCACTGCCTTTGTTTGTGCGTTGCAATACTTCTTTGCACGTTATTGCCCTCAACTATTGAGTGCAATAGCATTAAACTGGTAACATACATCGCATTGCCCAAAGGCTTGCACATGTGCATCCTTTTGCCTATGCACAGTAAAGGCAAATGGGGACCCGCTCTTTAAGACATTGCTCCATAGCACAGCACATTAAGGCACCCACAGGGTGAGTCAGGCTTTGACTTTTTTCAATCAGTATCTAATCAATCACATACAAAGGTAGAGATTCAGAGTATTTGTGTTCTTCAGACTTACTTATGAGCTTGTCTTCAATCTCATTTCCTGTTGGCAGTTGGTTGGACTGGGTGGGCTCCACTGGCAGGCTCATGATCTGATTGGTCTTCTTTATCTTGGTAAGCGTTACCTTGGCGATGGGTGGGAGTTGCTTGAGGCGGGGGTAGTAAAAGGAGTTGGCAGGGTGGCTAGGGAAGGAAGCGGTGATCTATGGAAGGGGAAAATGGACGATGAATTACAGTTGATGATAAATGGAGATGTATTGGTAGAGATCATAAGGGGCTGTCACACTTTATAGCACAGTGGCAATAGCAGTTAATAAGTTGATCCATTATAATCAAAGTGTTTTTTGATGTATGAGTAGTGTGCTGCAGTGCTTCTGCTGTTGAGTTTTAGATGATAAGTTTATGTGTTATGTCCACAACACAAAGGGTGTACTAACGGAGTGTGCTAATCTTTATTTAATCTTCTGTGATTAAATTGATTGTCAAATTTCCAGAGTGACTTTAAGCAGCTGGCAGTTGAATATTGCATAATTTAGGTGATTTTCAAATCCTATAATAATCTGTAGGCAACATAACGTGTATGCACAATTTCAAGCTCATTTCTGTGTTCACATGGTTTATGATTTGTGGGTTTTGATTCATGCAATGTTGTTCTTGGCTTAGATTGACCCACCTGTGTGATTTTGTCCTGCGGGATGGTCTCAAAGTTTGGAGAGGAGAAGGTAAACCCGCTGTCAGTTCCTGCATCGTATGGGAAAAGCTCCAGCGACACATTGTCTTTCCAGTGGTCGCCATCACACAGGTCAACAGTGTCTACACCCACAAACCAGTCTGGGCTTGGAACGATACGCACGATAAATGAGAGCTGCAGATGGAGGAAGTAAAGCATGGGGAGGAAGATGGAGCGTAAAGAGAAAGAGGAGGAAATAAGGGGGTGGGTGAGATTGGAGATAAGGAGAGAGAGAAGAAGAGAGAGACATGGGAAAGAGAATGGAAAAGGGTTATTTTTATGGCCATATATGATTTGTTTGTCAGGACTGTGGTTTAACAAATAATTGTTGGATTCACGATGGAAAGTTAAAATATATTGATTTCGATGCAGACAGACCAGAGATATTATCTTTAAATATTATCATGCATTCTTCTCCCTTGTGAAAACCTGGCATCAGTATTACCTACATTTCATCTCAACAGCTGAAAGTTTTGTCAAACATGTGGAAGTTTTATGTTAGCAGCGGCTAATATAGCCTTGAGATGCTAGCCTCAAGCAGAGCAATGCTACAGAGGTCTGGTGAGCTTGCTTCTTTCTAACGACACAACTGCAGATTATTACATTTTTTATTGTAGTCTTCAGACTCAACAGTACAGACTCCAGTGACATTACTCGAGGGGATCTGTCATGCTTTGCACAGCTTCTTCTGGAGCCACAAAAGAGTTCTTACAACTTTTTTCACATATGATGTGTAAAATTTGTGGATTTACCAATTAAATCAACCATATGTGATGTGTATATCACATGACTAAGTATTTCACTGTGCTATAATGTTTTTAATTGGAAGCAAATATCATCCTTGGTTATTCGTAGTCCAATACTTTACCCATCCCCTTACACGCATGCTGTTATTTCAGTGCTAAAGAATAGTTTGTTTTGAGCTGGTGAACATCTTCAGTCTCCAACTGGACTTTTTCCATTTCTCTCACCTCCAAACCAAACCTCCGTTCCCTCTCTTTTCTCCCAACTCTGTCTCGTCCCTTGTCCAAGCCTAACATAGTGTCAAATGTGTCCCCAGTTTTATGACCTAGCCAGGGACTCATCAGCAGGAAGTTTAACAGCCAACTCCTACAGAGTTTTATATAATTTGTAGAGACATAAATTAGGCTTGCTACGTTTTAGAAGCTCTCTTTAAGCTGCAGCATATGGAAAAAAAAGTCTGGAGCTGGTTTTATGGTAGTGTTAACAATTTTGCTGCACCAACCTAGTTAAAAAAGTATAATGTGCTCTTTCTCATAATATTACTCTTTTTATAACCTTCAAGTAGCGGTATTATAAGTTATTGCCTGGCTAAAAAGAGACTTGTCCTTGGTCCAATTTTAATAGTTTTGGCTGTCATTACTATTGGTAATATAATAATATTTTATTCAGTTATATTGTTGTGACACGGCAATGCAACATCCTCAGTGGAAATAACCTCACCACACAGTTCACAAGGGCAAACAAGCAATCAAGCATATTTTAAACATATCTAGTTTAATCCACTTGTATAGAAAACTTATTTGAAAGGGAAAACTGAGATGAAGGCGCTCAAAATGTCGTTACTGTTGTAGATTGCGGAAGTATAGTAAATATGGAAGGATTCACAAGAAAGACTTGTGACCCAGAGCATCAGACGACCTTGTCACACATACTGACCAAGCAAAAGGCGTCCGATGTACTTAATGCCCTGACTCAGACTGAAGGATTCCAGGTGTTGAGTGACTTACATAGGAGTGCCTGGCGAAGACCTCAAACTCAGTGTTCATCTGGCCTGTTCCTCCCACAACAGCAGGAGCGGAGAGGATCCCATAAACGCTCTGGATGCGTTCGCCGGCCGTCTCGACTTCCTTCATGATCGTCCAGGCCTCGCCTTTCTCAGCAAACTCCCTCACTCCGTTGCTGGCAAACTCATTACGCTGCCACATGTGGTAGTCAGAGCTGTGGGTCACCCCTAAGAGCAGAGAGAGAGAGAGGGATAGGAGAGGATCATAGATAGATGTTGCAATTAGCAGTTTATGTGTAACTCTGCAGAGGGATATTAAAGGAAGGTTTTTTGATAATAACTAAGCCTTATGACTATATTTGTTCTAATGTTAGGTGCATAATTGAGAAGATTTCCTTTATTTCCTCAAAGCAATCTGATGTATCTTTTGTAAATTTACTAAAGGAAAGGAGATTTAATCTTATGCTCATTTATCTCTTCAATGGCTTCTTCTGCTTTTAGTAATCAGTTTCAAGCACTGAGCAATGGGTCAGTAGGAGAAATATTTAGCTTTCTGTTACGCAACCAATCAGAATACTGTTCCACATCTGCTTCTAATAAAAATAATCTGTACAAAAAGCAGTTCAACTCTGCACTTACCAATGAGGTTTGACCACTGTGCAGGGGGACGGTAGACTGGATACTGCTTAGGGAAAGCTGCCTGAGTCCACTTGCCGGTAAACGTTAGCCTGTACTGGGCAGTTTCTGAGGCCGTGCACATGGGGATATCAGTAGGAACAGGCATTGAATGAAAGCCTTGGCCCAGTGTCAGCATCATGACGATCAGATGGTAAAGTGCCTCAGAGATGGGGAGGATGTTCTTTGTGATGTCCATGATAATGGGGGCTGATTTGGGGAAGGATGAAGGACCTGGATGAGATATATTTAAGAGAATACAAAGAAAGGAGAGAAGTAAGTAGTAACATCAAACTGAGTCCTCCAGCTGCTAATGTGTACAGTTGTAATCACAACATACAGTACTACATACTTAGTGTTCTTTGCTCTGCTGTTGCTGTGTCCCAAGGTGATCTGATGTAGAGCATGTTTACCAATATTTGCCATAAATGTCTTTATTCTAAAGATTCAACTAATAATCTTTTGTTGAATAGGTTTTTCTTAACTCTTTTTTGTGCACATTAACTCCCTCTGTGCCTGTGCATTTAAAAGCTTTGCACTATTCTGATGTGCAGTTACCATTTTTCTTGTTATTTGACATCTGTGCTTGGGGTTGTCCTTTTCCTGTAAGATCTGGTACATGGCAAGACTGACAAGGAGAATTGGAGAAAAGGTCAAAGTGTCTGGCAGCAGCATCACTGCTGGGTTTAACAAGTGGGGCATGTGAGTCAGAGGGAATGTGTTTCACGGAAGTCCTTTGCACTGTTTATATTCCACTGTTTAAACTTGTAAACTCAAATTTAAGCAATGCAGGATTGGCAGAGGGAGATCTGACATCAGTTAAAATACAAATTGTGAAATGTTGTTGCTGCAGCCTTGTGAGCTCTACATTCCTGTCTCGATGATATTATTTAACAGAATAAAGCTATGCCATCTGAATTTTCTAACTTTGGATATCTCATCATATCTTCCTCACTATCCAATATTTTAATTCTCCAGAGAGGGAGCAGTAACTTGGCATTCATCTTGCCACCTTCTTGAACTCTTTCAATAACTCTTAAGTGATGTGGGTCTTCTCACTCAGTCCCTCACTTAGCAGTATTATCTTGACACTAATATGTGTCCTTGACCAATAAAGAGCCCCGATATTAAAGGTTCCCCTGAGGGAAATGTACTATTTTAATGTGGAGCACACCCTTGCATGCTGACATATTAACACAAAAGTAGAGCCAGATGTGTTTAACATTTATCAGCAGATGTTTGCATTTTACTGCCACACTAATTCTTCCAAACTATAATACATGACATCCATATAAACTCTGTTATATCTGCACTTCACTGTCACATGTTTGTTTTCTCTGTTTGAATCTCTTGTCACTTACATGCGGTATGATTGCGTAAAGCGCTGATACATGCAAGTTTGGTAACCTTCCGTAATATAACTGTCAACAGCCATCAATTTGTGCAGAGTGATGCAGTCTTCTAAATGTTAGTACATCTGTACTGTTGTGTAGCAACAACATGATGGTGTGGTGCAGTAACTACTCACTGGTTTTGCTCAGGGTTCCAGATGAATTAAGGGTTGCAGCAGATGATTGGAGAGGAGGGCTGGAGGTGAGGAGAAGGGGAGAGGAGAGCAGTGGATGTGGCTGTCGGGAAGAGTGACTGCGAGGCTCCAAGTCCTCTTTCGCCTATTTATGTCTTTCAGGAGGTTCACCCCTCTCTTTCCTCTCCCTCTTTCCCTCCTTTCCCCCGGTCTCTCCCCCCTTTCCCCCTCTTGCTCCATTCCCCTCCTCAACTTGCTAAATGCTTTCTCTCAGCCTCTCTATCTGCTCGTCAATGACTTCCCTGCCCCCTTCATGCCCTTTGACTTTGGCTATCCTTCTGCCACTCTCCTCCTCCTCTCTCCTGCTCTTTATAAGTACCCCATTAACTTGCTAATGTGTTCAGCAGTTCTGGATACACCGCCAGGGGTCCTGTGCAGCGCCATAGGTAGAGTGTCATTTCACAGTGTGATACTGTAGCTCTCTATACCTACAAATATGACTAATGAGGCTTATAATGTATTTCTAGAACTCTCTAAATGTCTCTTGGTGAGGTTTTTGAATCACAGCTGAGCAGCTAGATCCAGTCCCAGTGCTGTTTTTTAACTCATGTAGGAAGTTATATTGCCTATGACACAGTCGATTTGCATACCTCCTTTGATGTGTTTTTCAGGGGCTTATAAAGTCAGGCAAATTAAGGCATTATCCAACAAAATGTTGAGGAAGTATAGACTTTAAGATAGAAAGAAATGGTATGTTTTATGACACTGAGTCAGATTTTTGCAGAAACCTTACACCTTAACACATTTTTTTTTTGACAGGCAATTTCAGGTGTGTAATGAACTTGGATTCTTACAGTACCTGAGCCTGTATGGGCAGTAGCAGCGGTGTGGAGGCATAGTACTCTGGTCTGTGCAGGCTTCAACTGTTTACCCCTATTTCCTGGAGCTTTTGAATATTTATTTTGGGTGTTGGGTTCAATCCTGAGTCTGCAGTGAATTTTGAAGTCCAAGACCTCAAGACTCCAGAGCAGTCCTCTTACTTTTTTATGAGGCTCAGTGAATATTGAAGTCAAACACGGAGAGACAAAGGGAAGACTCAAAGGCTCCAAAAATATAGCTTATAGCTGTCTGATCAAATGGCTCAGAGTGTTACAGGGCTGTTTTGAAATTTTGAGGTTGTGGGCTCAAACCTCAGGTAACTTAGTGAAGTTTGAAGGTCAAGAAAGAAGACTTTTGAGAAGTTTTGAGGTCAAGGATTTGATGACAGATGACTTGGTGAATTTTGAAATCCAACGACCAGATGAACTTTCAGAAAGGGTGGTCAAGTATCTCTGACCAAATATGTCCATATGTTAGAGGACTGCTTGGAACGTCTGAGGATGTGTGTTTGATCCTTATAAGGCTCAGTAAATTTTGAAGTCCAATAACTAAAGCTCTCAGCGCAATCAGTAGCGTAGTGGGTTCGTTTGTGACTGCAAGGAGTCAGTGGTTCAGTGTGAGTCACAAATCCCTCCCATTTTCTGTGCCACAGTGTTAAAACCAACCCTGTTGTGCAGTGCCCCTCTCCAAGAGAGTTAGAAGCAATTGGTTATGGATGATGATCCATTTATGAAAGGCATGAAGATAGCCTTGTGTCTGTGTCCCAGTCTGTGTTCACCACTGACTGGGACACAAGTACATACGAAGATAACAGATACAGATAATTCCACTACAGCTAATAGAGGTCCCCTCTTCAGGAGTTGGACATTGGCCAGGGTTGCAAGTCCCTTCTGGACAACTTACGCAAGCAGTTTTGTACTTCTATAACTAATAATTGGTCAGTATAGTATAGTGTGTGTGTGTGTGTGTGTGTGTGTGTGTGTGTGTGTGTGTGTGTGTGTGTGTGTCTCTCTCTCTCTCTCTCTCAGGGGGGTTGTGGGTGTGGTGTTTGACTTACTGAACCTGGAGGTGGTGGCAGTCAACATTCTACATGCTCACGTGCAAACACACAAATATGCCAGCATGCTGAATCAGCCCACATCTAATGATTTCCATATGGTCACGTTTCTTACAAACACAAACTAATACACACACACACACGCACACACACACACACACACACACACACAGACCAGTTGCCCTCACTCAACTTCTTTCAGTTTCCAGGATTTATTGTTTGGACTTCCAGTCTGCTTTCAGTCAGTGACATTTGAAAAAGGAAAGTTAACTCGTCACTGCCTTCACAACTCTTGCACACTGAACAGTGCTACACTGTGTTCAGTTTTTTTTATCGAGGGTAGTAGAGCAAAAGTGAGTGGTTTTCAGTTTTGCTCCCTATGGCACAGAAGACTGCTGACTTAATTCATGAAGTGGATTCACAGGTACCAAATGTACCTGGTATGCGCATTAACACATTGCATTATGACTTCATCCCTATATGCATATCACACCTTAAAAGGGTGCACGGTGCCATGGTCAATAGAGAGATCCTTTATATCCCTGTGGCTACAGACATCCACACTGCTGCAGTGTCATGGATTAAGCCTCTGAATCTCAACCAACTCCTAGTCTGTTGTTTGTCTTTGACCTCTGGCCCTCATCCTCCCCAGAGAGCTGAACTGCCCCACAGGGATCAATAAAGTATAAGTAAAGTTATTATGAGTAGTAGCAGTAGTAAATATCTTAATTACATGTACAAAGGTAGACCTGCCAGTACACAAAACAATCTACACTCAAGGTCCAGTTACACACTGCTTCTGGAGCTTTCAACTAGATGAAGTCTGCTCACTTGTCATGGAATTATAAATGTTTCAACTTTCTATTATTCTGAGCACCTTCAGGATTTTTTCTGTCATGTTGGCTTTTTACTTTTGACCATATCACATACTCTTCATCTGTATATTCATTGGAAGTCCATATTTATTTTATCCTGTTTTCCTGTACAGTATCATTTCTGTACCTTTTTTATAGAAATATTTAATATTTAGTTGTTTGACTATTGGTGAATGCTGCACTGAAGTGACACTTCAATACAGTTTTCTGTCTTGTCCCCTGTTATTGTTTGGGAATTCTTGGTGATCTAGCAACAGATGTGACACTCACACGCATACACTGTCCACAGCCTCAGCTTATGTTATTATATTATTCACTCTTGTGTTGCTGTGGAGATGAACCAATATCACACGTGCACACTGGCCTATTTTGCCTTATTTTTTCAGCACATGACTGACTGATGGTCTTGATTTAAAAACAAGGAGGTACCAGTTTGAGCTGATAATGTTTGTGTAGGAAAATGTCCAGTCATGTGTTTGAAAGGAAGCTGTAAATACCAAGGGAGAGGAAAGTCTAAGAGAATATAGGTCAGGAAACACCATGCGGGACTGGGGCCAAAGAGGCGAGTCTGGCACATGTCTGCCGCAACTGTGGTGGGAGTTGAGGATATGGGTACTTATTGTGGGACGGAGGTGGTAATACTGTCAGCATCCTATATATTATCCTATATATTGCAGTCGTTGTAACGACTGTGTGAGCAGAATAAATCTCAGAAGAAAGAGGTCATATTACCTTAGTCATTATTCATCGATGTATCTGGCTTGTTTACAAACTGGTTTCCCAGTGTTTTTCAACCATGTGTTTATATGGGACATGACCAATTCCAAAAAAACGGTTTTATGTTTTGCGTTTTTGAGGCATTCCAAGAAAATCAGACACTTGCATCTTCACACCAAGAGACCAAAGACTGAACTAGCCCACTTGTCACAGTTCATTTCTTTGTTGATCAACTAATTGATATATAAACTAACTGTTGCAACACAAAAGCAAATATGTCTGTTTTTTTCCACGTATGAGAAGACCTGTGAGTTTGTCAGTTCGGGAGCCAAGTCCCATCCTGCAGTTTAGTTTTTGGCGATGGGTCAACACTTTTTATTACATCACACATCCAGCCAACAAAGATTTAATCAGAGGTGATTGGCTGGTACTAAGAGTGTGCCGATGGGCAATGTGATCGATGATTATGAGAGCGATTGCCGATAGCCTGTGCCTTTGCCAGTGTCAGGCTTGTTTTCCCATTAATGTATTGATTTATTATTATTAATTATTATTATTTTTAGTAGTAGTAGTAAATTAATATTAAATTTAATATGCCCTGCCATAGTTTTACGTCGGTATCCCCACATATATATTGCTTACAACACTGACTCACACACACACGCATGCGCGCGCGCACACACACACACATTGAAGCAATGTTTGTTGTGTGTAAATGCTGCGCTGTGACAGAGGACAGAGATCGATAGACTGACAGAACACGTCACTTAGTTCAGTTTGTGAATCTGCTGCTTTTCATGGTTGTAAATAGAAGAGAGGGAGAGAACTGCAAACCATAAACATGTCATTTCTCTGCACCCACCCCTGCTGATCTTTGGGTGATTATTGTGAATGCTTTACATTACATGTAAATAATTCATGTTTTGTTTGTGATGACAATTTTGTTTAGTTTTAACACAGCCATCAAATGTATCTGTCATCCTACTATCATTGCTCAGGGTTTCCGAGAAAGAGCTTCTGTACACTACCATCTGTTCCAATCAAGATTAAGAATGCTGGACACCTCCTCTTCAGCTCTTCATACTTTATTCACCTCACCAAATGTTTTTTATTTGCTATCTCAAGTTCATCAGGGTGGTGTCTACTGAGGATGTTTGCGTTCTTGCTTATATCAGAGTGGTCACTGAGTCCTTGGTAACCTCCGCGTTAATGAAGGCCAGATGGCCAAACTTGTTGATGTGAATCAAGCATGGTGAACAGAGATCTGTGTTTTAATGGTGATGAACTTGTTTAAGGCTTGCAGCAGACTGTATCTTGCTTTTTGTGCGCTTTCAGTTGGAAATTACACCACCATCAATTGATCAGGAGGGAAAAGAAATGATTTATACAGTATAGTACTTAAGTACTGTACACGAGTCAGTGTGAAGAAAGAACTAGTTTATGAGTAAGTATCAAATGACTTGCACTAGAGTAGGTGTTCTTAGAGTTTCTTTCATGCTCAGAACTTGATTCAGTCAGTACAATACTTGTCCTTTGTTGCACCCATTAGCCTCTCCTTTGCTTCACATCAGTGAAGGTTG